CTAACCTGTAAAAACGTACCGCTTGATCGCACTTAATGAAAGCCTCGAGGGCTGAAGGTTCTGATCCTTACACCTCCCCCACTTCCATCGACAGGGCCAAGAGACTGTGGCGGTGGAGTCACACGAACAATGAAAGATAATATCCAACTACAAAGCAAGCATTGTACATAAACCAAGTAACAATATATGCAAATGATAATGATAAAATTTAAAACCGTTCAAAGGCCGAATTAAACATGGCATTTTTCAGCAGTATGGAACTGGGAATACATGGTAACAAACACATTTTCTGGTATCTATACAAAAATCAGCTACAATATTATCTGTCTTCCCTTTAGCATGGATGGAGAATCCTGTGAGGGGTCAGGGCTCACCCCAAAGACTGTGAGGTTACTCTGCTTTCATCCGGTATCTAGATCATATTGCATCAAAACAGTCCTACTGGGACCATCTGGGAGTAACTTTTTACAGCCCATTGAAAAACTTGGTGATTGAACGTATTGTTGGGCAAGCAGATTTTCATAGCATTTACTGTGCCCTTCAATTGGAAAACATGGTTTTACTTGCACACCAGGTATTCTTGCACTGCACCTGGCCTCTGTCCCTCCCCCCTTCTGTCAACCTCTCTAAAGAGGCTACTTCAGCAAGGCCAGCAGATGAATTTACATCTCCAGGTCCACACAACAAATTATAAACACACTGATTCTTAGTCCATTTGGATGTCTTAAGCAAACAGCTAACCACTTGGAAGGTCAGTAGTTTAGCAGTTCAAGACCCGGGTGCCGCAAGACGGGGTGAGCTCCCATCTCTAGTTCCAGCTCCTACCAACCTAGCAGTTCGAAAGCAAGAAATTGCAAGTAGATAGGTACCACTTCGGTGGGAAGGTAACAGCGTTACGTGCGCCTTGGTGTTTAGTCATGCCGGCCACATGACCACGGAAACGTCTTCGGACAGCGCTGGCTCTTCGGCTTTGAAACGGAGATGAGCACCGCAACCCTAGAGTCGGATTCGACTGGCTTTCGAGCAAGGGAACCTTTACCTTAACCACTTGCACCCTCTGTTTACAACCCAGTGGTGTAGAACTGCCTGCTGCTTGTCCTCTGAAGTTGGCACCCTCATATCTCAAAGGATATTCACTTTGAGTTCCGGGGGGGGGGGAGTTGTCTCTTTGAATTCTAAGCCATGGGCTACTTCCCCCCCCCCACTCTGACTCTCCCTCTCCTGACCGACAGAGAGAGGAGCATTGGAGGAATCAGCACTGCAGGCTCTCGTTTGCTTCTGAATTAATTCTTCCTGTTCCAAAAAAGTTGCCGTTTTAGCTTCTACAGCCTGATCTCGAACCTCCATATGCCCCAACAGCTTCTCAGCACCCCAGTTTATTTGTTCATGATTTGCACTCTGATGGAAATGATCTGGGCAAACTAGCTAGTTGATCTCTACCCCAAAACGCCTTATCCTCTGCATTCTGCTCAGGACTCTGAGGATTAGATTGCAGGAGTGTTTTAAAACTACTATCTTCTGGGGGACTTTCTTAAGGCTGTTTGCAAAAACTTTGTTCTAGGGCAAGGTATGGGTAATTGCTGACAGCCAAATTGCTCTTCAACTCTCCCTCGCCCCATTTCAACATCACAGCTAGCCTGCATTAGGTTTACATATGAAGGAATGTAGTCTCCTTGCCATTTTGATTACCTAACACCTCCCATAAAAATCCTTTCTTTAGCAGGCTGTCCAGAATCTGGGGCTTCACTCTGCTCTTTCCTGACCTCAGTATCTCTTGCTGACCAACTCACTCCCAGCACATTTTTACTCACAAACTGAGCCTGCAGAGCTTCCCTCGAAGCAACCTCTAAACCCACAGTGGGCACACTACCCCCTTTCTCCTCCCAGTCCTCTTCAAACACAACATTCTGTAGAGAGGCTAAACCTTGTGGTTGACTAGCAACCCTTTACATTCTCAGTTGCTGTGACTTAGTCCTGGTAAACCCTTGTGCGCTGCCGCTTCTCTGCTCTTCCCATGACACTTCAGCTAAAGATGGGAGCCGGTGTCTGAATGTTGGTACCGACACACACTGCTGAATTTCTTCCTGATGTTGTCCTGAAGACCAGGTGGGCTGCTCCTCATCCTTAAGTTTGGGAGATCTCAACTTGGCCCGTCTGTCGCCTTGATCTTGAGTCATATGTTTCTGCAGCGGGGCCACTTGCTGAGCATTCTGCCCCAGTATTTGCATTGTTAAGGTGCAGAAATGCTGAATCAGCTCCTGCCCAACTAGAGGGGCCAGGGGCCATTTCGTAGAAAAAGAGGTGCAGGAGCTCATTAGCATAACTCATTTGCATACCTCATTTGCATATGCCACACCCCTTGGCATCACCGGAAGTGTGTCAGAAGGCAACACCCACCGCTCAGGCTCCACTGGATTGCTAGCTATTGGGGGGGGGGAACGCACAGATCTGTCCTCACAGAGGAGGGCTTGACTTCCGGTTTATGGCGGCGCGCTAGCAGTCGCACCTCCCAGGGGTGAGGCTGCGCTCCAGCCGAAGAAGGGGGTGCGCAGGCTCGCAATCCCCCCCCCCCCCGGGTGATTTTTTAAAACACCCTTGTACCTGAATAACACTTGGTCTTAAAGGTGCCACTGGACTGTTCTGGATTGCTAGCTGTGTGGGGGGGCGTAGATCTGCCCTCACAGAGGAGGGAGAGCTTGTACCTGAATAACACTTGGTCTTAAAGGTGCCACTGGACTGTTCTGGATTGCTAGCTGTGTGGGGGGGCGTAGATCTGCCCTCACAGAGGAGGGAGAGCTTGTACCTGAAGGTGGGCGGGGGGGGGGCTCTGCAACTTACCTGGCTGCTTCTTGCTCCTCGTGGCCCAACTGAGGGGTGCTGGGAGCAGGGAGCGGGGCTTGTTGTATGTGCCTGCCCCCTGGCCTCCTTACTGCCGGAGCTCCGCTCCTGTGCGCTCCTGCAGGAAATGACTCCTGAGTGGGGCTCCTGACTGATTCTGCTGGTTGAACAGAATTGCCCCTCCTGCTACTCCATCCTGTGCTGTTTGTTGCATGAGGTCCTGAGCCTGATGTACTTCTGTTAGCCATCTGGTTGCCGTCCAGCACTGATAAGTGTCTTAAAGGAGAACACTCCAACAAGCCTCCAGTTTGTCTCTGATCCTGCCACAAAGGATCATTCTCTGACCACTGAGCTTCCCTCCTGCTGCAAAATGAACCTGTGGAGGCAGCTTCATTGTAATCCACAAAGCATCCATTAGCAGCTCTCAAAACATTCTCCGAAGATGAACGGGAGCTATAGGGCCTCTCAGTAAACACGACCCATCTTTCAGAGGCACCAAGCCTGTCCATCATGTTGACTCCAAAGCTCCAGTCATTAATGGGAGAGACCACCTCCTTATTCTGGCTCATCTTTCCCAGCCAAAAAACCAAACACTTGCCTAATTGCCATGCTTTCCCAGGCCAAAGGTTTTGTCACTCAGTACTGCTGGTGCTGCAAAATACATCCTCAGTTGCAAAGCGCTGCTACCATGTCTGGACCAAGGACAGTCCCGCTCCCGTTCTCAGGTGCTGAACTCACAGCCACCTGGAGACTCAACTGAAATAGATCAAGAAAACGTGTTTCATTCAAGAAAATCTGTAGCTGCCCACTCACCATTTGGTCAACTACCTTTTCCGCCTTGCTTGAACATTGGCTAGCCAAATGAGGCATAGGCAAACTGATGGTGGCCACATGTTGTACTGAAGTGTGTTGTCTGAAGGGTCTCTTCCTGTTTGTTCATTACAACTTAGTGCCCTCAAGTTCTTTAGTAAAGTAAAACAATAATAAGGCAGCAAAGTCATGAAGTCATAGAATGAAATGCAGGTTGTGGATTACAGTTTTGAATGCCATTTCATATAAACTCTTATGTTCAGATAGAAAAAATGGCAAGATTCTACTCACTCTCTTTGCTTGGCATGCTCATTTTCTATTTTCAGGGAATATTTAACATAGAAAAGTATTCCAGAATGATATCCTTCGTGGTACTGAAGTAGTGCAGTCTGTTCTGCCGTCTCATCCCCCTGTGTGTCTGAACCAGACCTCGTTTTTTCACTCCCTTGATTTCAAGCAGATTTTTGCATCATAGAGAAAGTTGCTGTTTAAAATGTGTGGCCTGTTTTTGTCAGTCCTCCTCTCAATCCTCCCAGCAATCAAAAAGATCACCCTTTTTTATCCTGATGTCCCACCATATCCAGAATGGAAAAAGCCAGGCAGAATTTCCTATGTGCTGTGTCCACCTGTCATTCACACAAAAAAGGAATATTAATGTCGATTGACCTCAAAAACAGTTTAAAGCAACCTTGCAAACAGGGCCATGGAAACTACTAGCCTGCCAAAATCCTGACTAGCCTACATGCCCACACATACTTTTTATGTCCTAAATGGGGGGGATAGGGTTGCCAAGTTCAAATTTCCTAATAGTGGGGGGACTCCTGGATATCCCTGGGAGTCCCCTGGCGCACACGCCGCAATCACGTCACCCGGAAGTGATGCAATTGCGTCGCGCAAGTTGGGGGCAGGGCCACAATCTTCCGAGGGAAAACCATTGAGTTTTCCCTCGGATGATAGAGTATCCCCCCACAACATGCCCGCCGCGATTGCATCACCTCCGGGCACATCACACACACTGGGCACGTCACACGCTTTGGGGGTGGGGTCCCCCCCCGTGGCCCAATCCCCACGGGCGGGGAACGGGCCTCTCGGGAGGGGGTTTCCCTGCACCCCCGGGGGGACTTGGCAACCCTAGGGGGGGACCTTCTTTAGTAAACGGTTCCACCTGGTTGCCTGGAGGCAATTCTTCCTTGCCAAAGGAAACTTGGTTTTCAATATTAAATGGAAGTGGTGATATAATTAAAGAAAGGTAACATAAGAATAGATCTTACATTATGAAATTGTTCCCATCCATGGGTGTAAAGAGTTAAGATAACCCTTTCTCTTCTCCCCACCCCGGCTTTCTCTTTCAGTATGGAAGAAAGAAACTGAAGTATTTCCCTTATAACCATCAACACCGATACTTCTTTTTTGGTGTGTATCTTCATTTCATTCTTCTGTTTCCATATATGCAGAGAAGGCAGGAGACAAGATAATATTTAAACACAGCTATTACCTAGATGCAGGAGTGCTGAGAAGAGACTAGGCACACAAAGTAAGGGGGCCTTGAGGTTGTGGAATAGTAGCAGTGTGCCTATTCCACTCAGATATCTCACGTATGTGCTGAATGTGAGGAATGGTAGGGGGTGCTTTGTCTGGGAGTTTGTGGTGGATCTCGGCATCCCTGTTTATATCCTATCCTGCCCCTAAATGTGTAAGTAATCAGACCCCTTCCACATATCTGAAGTGAAGGAATATGGTAATGTCCCTTTCAACAACCACACTGTGTGTTCTCTTCACTGCTTGTGTTTTATTAGCTTTAAGTCATAAATGATGCAAGAACTGAATATCAAGGTGGACAATGGCGGCTTCAAAAAAAGATGGATCCCACACAGAAATTGTGTTGTTGTTCTTGAGGTGTGAACAATAAACATAATTAAACTGGGTAGAAAAAATGCCATTGAAGGCTAAGAAAAACAGGGCCAGTGAATGTCTCCTAATAGCCAATTCAGAGCTTTACAGCAAGCATGTTAACAAGAGTCCTCTTGATAATATTGCGCTTCAGGTGTGGGGGTGTCATGTTTAAATACTCCCCCATGTCAGATCTTGGAAGCTAAGCAGGGTCGGCCTTGGTTAGTATTTGGAAGGGTGACCTCCAAGGACTACCAGGATCACGAGGCAGAGGCAGGCAATGGCAAACCACCTCTGAAACATCTCTTGCCTTAAAAATAAGTCTAGTCTGCCGTCTAGCGGTGCACAATGCTAAAAGAGCTAGAACTGTTGGCTGCCAGACAATCTTAGGATCTCCTGGCTATTCTACACACAATGCCATCCGATAATTATTGTTAATTATTATTATTATTCCCCCATGTTAAAAATCCCCTTCACATATTTCAGAGAAAAAGCCTCGGCTTAAGACTATTTTTTTTTTAAAAAACAGGCTTTTAAATTTTTCACGCTTTCCACTTAAAATTCAGAGCTTTTTCCAATAGGAACACTTGTGTTTCTAAAAAGCAGTTGATTGCCTCACCCCTAATGTAGCCAGTCCTCCAAGAGCTGACAGAGCTCTTTTTACAGGGCTACTGTAAGCTCTTGGAGGATTGGCTGCATTAAGCGGGGGTGTCGCCTAATAGGCAAATGAGTTCCTGCTACAAAAAGAGCCCTGCGAGGTGCTTTTTCCAAGATCATTATTGCCCTTATCATGCGTATAAATAATTCTGAAAATATCCATAACAATGTACTGGCAGGCTGCTTAAAGGGTGAGTGAAATAATAACAATATGAAATTATTGTTTATTTAAGACAACTTCGTTATACATGGGCAAAAGCCTCTGAACCAACTGCTGGTTTTCAGCTTATACATTTCTGATGACAACCATTCCTAGATACTAAAAATGTCAGAACCACAGGGTGGTTAGAGGTTTCATAGGGGCTCCTAAAGGTAATGGGGAAACGATTGTTTTCCCATTCCCTTCTTTGAAGCCCTGCCTAGAAATGTGGCAGCCCCAGCAGGCAAACAAGGCTGGCTGTATCCCTGCCGAGCTTTCTACACGAAGAGAGAATTTGTCATGAGG